TATAAGGACGCGCAATGCATATGTACATTTTTTCATTCACACTTATTTGCAAAATAAGCTTGCTCGTATTGTTTTTAAAAATAATATAAATTTTGTTATAATTATTATTTATGATCACAATGGACAATGTTATTCCATGCTTAATAATAGGCCAACCTAAGGTGATTGATAACCACAATAGCTTTTGTAAAGGCATAGCTTCCCTAATATCTCGCACGAATCGATTGGAAATATATTTTGCCCTACATTTGTCCTACAATTACAACATTGAACGGTTAATAAAGCGGCAAGACGTTCCATCACCAATAGGCTGGCCCAAAAAACACATTATTTGCGAAAGAAGAACGAAAAAAATCTCCCTTCAAATTTCACAAAAATGCATTTACATCATTTAAAATAAATTTTTAATCCATCATTTAACCCAACACGTGTTGTTGGCTAATCGGTTGGTGATTAAAATTCAAATTTTAATTCGGAAACGTTCGGCATCAATCATAATTATTACAAAGCATTTATTTTTTACGTTTTGATCAATCAACAAATCGATTTATTTAGAATATTTCACTTTACAAATTCATCATGTTGTGTCAATACCTCGTGATAATGCAAATTTATTCAAATTAGCTTATTTCGCGTTATTTTAACATTGCATAAAGTTTTTTTTTTAGAAAAACGATAGCATTTACATGTTGGAAATATTTCTTTATGACAGATGCCGGCGTTTCGGTAATAGGATTCTAAAAATAAGACGTATTCGCTGAAAGCAACGAGAATGCAGCAGTCAATGCATAACGAATGTTACCTGTTATACATCAGAACGTCTGGTTTCCATAGCTTATTAGGTGTGATCCGCAAGTCCTTAACCCCTCCATAGTCTGATTCGTTCCAGCGCAGGTTGTAGTCGTTCCATTCCTGCACACAGTTTTATTATACAAATTTGAAAGATTCATTGAATTGTTCCAAAAAATTCGCCATTCACTAAATGCGTCATTTCGCTTAATTTTATCAGTAATAAGCGAATTTCTGGAATAACATTGAGTAGGTGGAACGCCAACACGTTTGATTGGCATTCCAATTTTGTACATTTACACACTTTACTACACGAGCGAGAAATAGTTGCAGCCAATAGCTAAATCATGCCAGGTAAGAAAAATTAACTAAACACCCACAGTGGGTTGTTGCGGTATTGAAATGTGCTTCAAACAGTACAAATAATCAATAATACTTACATTTTATGTTTAAACGTATACCTATAACAGTATATTTTATCTTCGAAGGGTTTCAAGTTTCAATACGTATGCGGGCTTATTAAAATTCATTTTCGAACCAGCTGCGAATTCTACAAAAGTGCGATAAATCGACTAAAGGGAACGTTTAATATTTTCCGCAAATTCGGTCAAATAAGTTCTAAAACTGTATGTAAATCAAGGGAGAACGGAGGCGCGTTACAACCGGTATTTCGCTTGTAAAATCTTAACCAATTAAAAAGCGGAAAAACTCATATTTGAACCGTTTAATTTGAACAGCATACCGGAGTATATTGAGATACTTCTAAACTTATCGCTAAATCGCTGAATCAGAACAAACTGTTTCGTTATTGATTTTGCACAGTAGCAAATAGTTTCCTAAATGTGTACTGCTCAAACTATTTATTACAAAATAATGTATGCAGGAAACAGTTCGGTCTAATGGGTGTAATTTTCGAGTTGCGACACTGCAAAGTAATGATGTAATTCTCAAATTAATAAATCTAGCAACATGTAGCAGTCATATCGGATGATTTATTTAAAAAAAATTAATAATAATCCTCAGGTGAGCATTATGGTTTGGATATTTCGTAAGAAACATTTCGTATAATGTCATACACGTGTCATAAATTCCAATTAAACTTTCTGATATTTATGTACAAATTCCCCTGTGTTTTGTAAATATCTTAAAAAAAGTTTTACTTTCTACATGATATAAACCTTTAATTAATATTTACCTTCCCTCTGGTATTTATTAATTTTAAAAATCTCATCAAAAAAGGCGAACAAACATAAAACAGAAAGAATTCAAGGTTATTAATATTTACTGTTACATTAATAATGCAGATTTTGTACTGCCAGAGGTGTTTTCTTTACAAGATATTTTGTATAATTTTCTCGATTTTCTTCATATTTCAATAATTTAACAAAATATTCATTTAGAGTGCGCAAAACAATCAAATGTGTTTTTACTAGGAAAACGACATTAAAATTCTGAACAGGAAAATTCATACAAAAATATGTATAATTTAAAATAATTTTCAATAGCTTCAAAATTGTTTGAAACGTGTACTGAATATGGAATTTTAGGTAAAAATCAGATGTGTTTTTACTAATTTTAAGAAAACTACATTAAAATTGCATGAACATGCAAATTGATACAAAAATTTAATTAAAGACAATTTTCAATAGCTACAAAATTGTTTGAACCGTGTACTGAATATTGTATTTTAGGTAAAAATACGAAATTTTATGCATGACACGAAACTGAAAAAACTAATCAATGTGAACTTTTATTAGATGTAAAAGGACTGAAATCATGAAAGTTTATGAAGTTAGTGAATTTGACAGTTCCCTTTTGAAGTTGAACGTACAAAAATACACACACGCAAGAATGGATTTATTGAAATATTAAGTGAGTTTTGCTGCAGCCGAGCTGGAAATAAAAAGGAAACTCGAGGAAGCAGTTCGAGCGATATAACGGTTGAATAGCAGCTTTAAATGTGACACTTTAAAACCTTAACCGTGTTTGTGTTTCGATATTAGCAGCTAATACTTTTTTATTAAATATTCAATGGATTCGAATGGGAGACGTTATAAGTATACGGAGCTTAATTTTCTCCGAAGAACGGGAAATCGATAGCGGCCGATGGCTTTGGCCCGAGCGTTTTTTTACTCTTAAAATATTGCTAAACAGCTGCAGCCCATTACAGCGCTCCCAAATTTTATTTTAAATGTTAATGGTAGTTTACATAATTTATATTGCGAAGTATTTGCGCGGAACCTCCTTAACTAATTTTTTACTAAGGGTTTATCTGCTTTTATCTTTAATATAATCATAAATGTATATATGAATATGAAAAACAATTCGTATTGCATTGTAAATTAGGCAGACATAGACAATGCAATGCAACTTTCCCATTAATTAGAAGATAAGTTGGATGGAATTCCAAGGAATGTCTGTGTCCCTCATTTCTCCCTTGTACTACATCATCAAATAGCGATCCGCATTCCTGGAAGATTTAAGCAACACATAAATTAATGGATTAGCAGATAATTACCCGCACCGAGTTTCCGAGCTAGCATTTCAAACTGAATTTTCGTTAAATCAATCGAACAATAACTGATAGACTGAATTCATTCAAATACAACGAAGTGTATTTAAAAACCAAGCAAGTTGGTTTTGTTAAAAATTTTAATGACTGTAACGTGATATATTTTGCATATTGTGGAGATAGTGTACGTTTAATTATTAGAGTATTAACAATACAACTGATATTTGAAACATGTATGGTTTTAAATATGTAGACTAATTTAATGACTGTGTCTCATCAAAAAAATTGAGTAAATAAAAAACATGTATCATTTTTCGAATAAATTATAGAAAACATCAAACGACGTCCGGTCTATGTACGTTGTAAATTTTTGATAAGCTTCTACGAAATTAAAAAAATATATATTTTAATTTAAACGTCAGTTTTAATGCTATCTCGACAGGTCGAAATAAACATGGTCGTCATCCGGCGGTGTACCCGACTTGGATATTTTCACCTCTAATTCTCAAATACGCTAACCAAAAACGGCAACATCGAAAATCGACATTTAAAACTCCATAACGAAGTTGACAATGTTCAGATAAGCGCCCCGTTTTCAATTTCAATTGACATTAATACTTTGCCCGAAAAAAATATTTCCTGTCGCGACTACTAAATTGTACTGAATGGAGCAAATCAATACGCTATGCTTAGAAAAACTACGTTAATGAAGGTACATGTACTGTTACGTTAGCTAGATGATGTTACACAATATATGTAAAAGGAACAGCGCAGAATGGGATACATTAAATTTGCTTACAATATCAGATTTATTCACTAATTAATAATTAACGATAGTCAAACATTATACTGAAAGTAAAATATGCCTGAGGATGACAAATTGTAACATGAGTTGAGTATGAATGAACAAAGCAAATTTAACAAGGCTGTATCTAGAGTATTATGTATTGTATAATCTGGGATGATAGAATATTTTGCTCTTTTACGTAATACGTTTATATTTCAAAAATGTTCATTACTTGTACCTTCAGAACACAAAGTTACACGTATATACAAGTAAAAATATACAGTATTGCATGTAAAAAAGTTCGATTATGATTGTAAATAATTATTTTCGAGTCATACTGTATATTTTAGTAAAAATCTACCATGCTGAAGCAATGCGTCATGGACATGCGAGGATAAAATTGTTTTAGTCTTTTAGTAAAATACGATTTTTAACGACATGTTTAGTGTAGACTTTTATCAATGTTTTTGTTTAATAGGTCTTATAAGGTGTTTAAATATTCGCGATTCCCAAAAAGTGAATACCTCTACCTCCAAGACAGTAAAGATTTGAATCAATATTAAATATGTATTATTAAATCATTGATGAAAACAGTGTTTTGTATTCACACTAACAGTATTGGCAAAATAATATAATTTCCACGCTTCTGTATTGAAATTTTCCATTAAACTTTTGGTGAAATTTCAGCTGTTTGCTGCTCGATGTTAAGTGAAAAATTTTCTTGAGCTTTTCAAATTTTGGCGGATAATCTCTTAATTCCAAATATTGGCGAACACCGTTCGCCAGATTTTTAACTAATCCACCAAATTTTCAAATTTTTGATTGAATAACTTTTTATAAATTCTTATGCTTTTAACACGTGGCGATATTGCAAAATGTACTCATTGAATGTGCCGTATTCAATATCCATTTGTTCTCTGTATATCTTTGTGATCCCACCCTCCAATACCTTATACCGTAATGAAACAAACAACGTAATTAGAAAATATTGATTTCGAACTTCTCAATTTGTTTGGTAAAAAAGTTTTTGTTTCTATTTTTATAGTGGAACACAAACAACACTGACTTCATCAATCAATTGAAAACTTCTTTGGAAAATATTTCTGGAATAATGATAAAAGTAGCAAAAAGAGCGATCGAGGAAGGGAATCAAATTTCATTTGTTTTGACACATGTCGACGCAATCAATCAAGAATCCTTAATACCTTATGTGGAAAGCAATTTAATGAAAAAAATCAATAAATTTATTTACCTATATATATTCTCGGATACATTCAACTCATTCAGTAACGATCTGTCAAGAGAATGGGGGAGAATTAATTTAATTACCAATTAATTAAATGATGTATTAGGGATTTTCGTTTTATGAAATTTTCGACATAAAAATAAGAGACGGAAGCTGACAAGATATTAATTAATCAATTATGGAAGAAAATGGTTAGTGTAATTGACAAAATTAAATTAATCCACGAAACATTTACAAAATAATACTAAAATAATGAATGATCATTTTTTCGTTGTTTTGGTTTAGAAGTAAATTGCTACTTTTATGATTATTATACCTAATCCCATATTATGAATGTTTTTTGATAATTTGGTCCTATAATCCTAATTGTATATTATTAATTTATTTAAGCAGCATTAATTAAAAAAATCATTTAAATGTTTACACACACGGCAGTAAGTACCTGATGTAATTTAACTAAGACGATCTCTTCAATAGTGGCGATGGCAAAAAGGAGTGTTTGTTACTTCTATGAAAATTATTATTTTAAAACAATTATCCAAAAATTATTCCATAGTTCTCTTTTTTAAAATAAGCCT